ATGGTACCCGATTGAGGCCAACATGGGCTTAAAGAAGTGGTTAAATACATGTTCTCCCATCTCCTGAAGACAGACGACGTCGCTGTTATTCTCCTCGATCTCGTGGAGAATTAACTGGATCCGACGCGTCTCCTTCATGACATCGTCGTCGACGTAGGAGAACAAGTTCTTCTTTGCATGGTCGGTTGTTGCATAACCGTTATATAACACGTTATAACTCATGACTCGGAACGCTTCGTGTGCATCAGGATACTTGTCTGTCGCACTGGTTGCACCCATTTGTTGTCTCTCTTTGAACACATACCGGTTAGGTCCTGGTAGTACCGGTATTGTTACGGTTTCTGCCTTGCTGTCCTCAGCATACTCTGACTGTATCATTGGTGCATGGCATTCCACGTAGAACGTGCAGTCCAGCTCCTCCTCGGTCGGTGTATATCTCCTCTCGGAGCTCACCAACATCCCACCGCTCTCTTCGCCTTTGTTACGACGATACCAGCACCACGAGCACTCGTCGGCAGTGCAGAATTGAGTCTCAAGTAGCGGATTTACTGTAATACCAGCCATCACAGGCTCCAGCACCTTTAGGCCCGTCACTAGTGGCTGGTTGTGGAGTACTGTGAAGGTCTCTGAGCCGACCTGTAGCTGCTTGGTGCGCATTAATGCATCGCCCACGGTCGCTCTCTTTGCGTTGATCTGCTGACCATCTGCGTCGAAGAATTTGACAGGAATTGTGGGCGCTGTCCCGCCATTCCTTTGCTTCTTCTTGCCTCCGGGAATTGAGACAGCAGACGCCAGAAGCTGCAGACGAAAGCGAACGCGGTCTAATTTCTCAGTGCAAGGGCGGAAGAAGCTCCTGCGGTCGTCGAGTAGTCGAAGCTGCAGCGTGAGGTGCGACGCGCCCGGCTCCAGGCTAACGTGGGCTACGCGGCGTTCCGAGGTGCCCATTGTTTTTTACCCTTTCCGGACCAATAATAATTATTGAAGTTAAAACAGCGCGGAGTCGCTTAATTTTTTTGACCAATATTAAAAATAATAATTAGCGCTACGTAGCTGAAGTTTGTTATTTTAATAATAAAACAGTTTTGTATCAGCATTTTCTCACTATTTTTGTGCTAAAAATAGGGCATTGCAAATTTAGAAAGAGAACCTTACCATTCTTGACAAACAACCAGCTTAGAAATTTGTCGACAAAACTTTGATTGCCATCTGCTGGTCTGGTATACACCGTCATACATGTACAACATCTCCTGCTGTACTCATTTGCCTTCGGCAACGTGTTAATCTGCTTGGTTGTCTTTCCGCTGACGGTAGTCTTCTTTAAGTCAGAATTTCCGAAAACAAGAACAATAACGCTGGAAGGGAAACTGCTCGGGCTGCCTTAAATTAAGTCAGCGTGGGATATTGCACCAGCCAGATTAGAGATGCTCCAAGAGGTTGTTGACATGCAGCGAGCACAAGAAATTGATCCTCCTAGCAACAGCGCATGCCGACATCTATTCAACCCCCGCGTAAAAGCAGGCTACTCGTCGCAGCAAGCACATCAAGAAGAAAAAAGTGCGAAGGCTGGAGTTTGAGGAGTCTCACAACGCTCATGATACTGCGCTGATCAGCGAGCTGCAAGATTTGTTGACATTGCAGGTAGCCGTAACACGGCCAGATGCAGTTCAGTAGCATTGAGCCATGAATGTGAGCTGGACAGTTTGCGACGTTAATGTGACGGGGTCACACAGCACCTTGCGCTAGAGGAAGTTAGCTTCCGAGAGTATACAAACTCAGTGAACGGCAGTTCACAGGTCCCCTCTTTATTCAAAAGAGAGCGAAGTGACCTGATGTAACGGGCCTAGAGTGTCCGTTACTAGCTTACACGTAATAATGAGGAAGCGTGCAAGTTCCGCGATAGTGAAACCAAGTGCTTAGTCTGAAGGAAGATCAACTCTGTTTTTATTTAGGTCCAGGGCAGCTTGCCCTGACCACTCAAATACACGTCAAACCCTTTATTGGGTGATAATGGGTCTGGCTCCCCATATATCAAAATAGGATGACGGCAGTTCAGCACACGCTAGCCATG